ACTACCTCCGTCAACTGCTCCGTCACCGGTCACCACCTCCGCCACCGGTTCCGGTGCCGATTTTTTTTTTCCTTTTTCCCTCTTCCCCCGCAAGTTTTTTTTTTCTCTCTGCGTCTCCCCCCTCCTCCTCCACCACCCTTCCCCTTCCCCTCTGGCCGATCTGGTCGCGAGACCAGATCGCACCGAGGGAGGGTGAGGGTGGTGGGGAAAAGGGAGGACAGAGGGACAGGGGGGATTTGCCTAAAAAAAAAAAATTGACGGGTGGCGGGATTCGGGGGGTAAACGGGAAGGGGAATAGGGGAGGGGAAGGGGCCAAGGAGTGACGGGGGGAGGGGGAAGGTGGCGAGGGGGTGGCGGGGCAATGAGGGTGGCGGGGTAGAGGGGGAAGGTGGGCCTGTTTGGAAGTTGCGGGGGGAGGGGGAAGGCGGGCAGAGGGGGAGAAGCAAAGCAGGGGAAGGCGAGGGGAGGGGGTGGCGGGGAAGAGGGGATGGCGGAAAGCAGGGGGAAGCGGGGTGAGGGGATGGCGGGGGGAGGGGGAAGGTGGGCAGAGGGGGTGGCGGAGGAAGGGGGTGGCGGGGCAGAGGGGGAGAAGCAAAGCAGGGGGTGGTGGGAGGTGGCACTGCTGGAGGCAGAGGTAACGGGGAAGGGGGAAGAAGAAGAAGAAGAAGAAGAAGAAAGAAAAGAGAAAGGAAAGAAAGAAAAAAAAGTTTTTAACCCTACAAAAAACTTCTACAAAATTTTTCTCCTTACAAAAAACTTCTACAAAAATTTTTCAAAAACTTCTACAGTGCACTACAGTAAAGTTTTAGACAAACTCTCAAAAAACTAGGGTTCCAAACAGGCCCTAAGTAAACCGTGCTGTTTGTCTTTCAATTGTTTAGTCTATAAGCCTATTAATTTTGCCCCTCGTCGAGGTCCTTAATTCTACCTTACAATTTATATTGTGAACCTATTAAATTTTTATGGTTGGTTTGAAATATATGATTTTTGGATGTTTGTATAAAATTTTACTATAACTTATTGTGAAATCGACAAAAAAAAAATTGGGTGTATTTTTAGGGTTTGGAAAAATTAAAAATTTTCCCTTTTTTGTCTTCTTTTTCTTTTCCTTTTTTTCTTTTCTTTCGTTTTTCTTTCCCTTTCTTCCTTCCTTCTCCTTCCTCTCCCACATCCCCGTACCAGATTAAATCAGAGCTCTTCCTCCCTCCCAACTGTCGCGCGGCAGCCTCCTGCCACCACCGGCGGCGATGGAAACTCCTTTTTTTCCCCTTCTCTATGTCTCCCTCCCTCTCCTCTTTCGTCTTTCATCTCTCTTCCCTCCCTCCCTTCTTCTCTTCTCCTATCTCCTTTCCTCCTCCTTCTCCTCCTCTTTCCTTCACCAGCTCCACTCGATCAGAGGGGGAGAGGGGGCCGATGAAAATGGGGAGGAGGGGGCCAATGAAGAGGGGGAAATGAGAGAAGGAAAAAGAGAGAGGAAGAGAATAAGGAAAAAAAGAGGGAAAAAGGAAGGGGAAGAGTGTTGGCATCAGTGCAATCGGAGTCAACATAGGCAACGGTGGGAAAATAGTGACGGCAGGTTGACGTGGGAGGGTAGTGATTGATTAGTAAGATGACATATGTTTTTGATATTTTCGAATGTGTATTTTAAAAAATTTAGAAATATTTTTTAAAATTATTGTAGATAAAGTTACTAAAAAAACTTGTCCAATAAAAAACACACTACCAAGCAAACCCTTAGATCTATGAACAAGCAAAGTTGAAGTTTAATCAATGAAATTGCTTGTGGAACAGTAGTATTTTAATGATTACTTTTCCTGTGTCATTATGCATTATCTCGTAAATTGTGTCTGACATTGGTGAATTTGAGGATCAAAGATTTGCCCTTAAGACCTTTCATAACTCATGACGTCTGGGATTCGTCGTCAAGTTTTGTGTACAACCAAAAAAAATCTGTAAACGTGTGGGTTACACGCTTGATGCGGAAGAAATGTTGCCTGTGGACTTCTGAGGATTAGAAATCTGGAAATGTTTGATGCGTTAAAATTTGATGGTCCAAGGAAAGTGCTTCACGATTGAGATAGCATCCAAACAGGTACTAGGGGACAGAAATGGTACTGGAGGGCCCCCAAGAGTTAAGCCTATGATAATTGAGCACCATCAAACATGGCCATCAGCGTCTTCCACCACTCTTTCCAAAATGAAGTACTAATCATTAGACCAACAATCCATCTCCTCCTCCTTTTTTTCTTTTTCTCTTTTCCCCCTCTTTTTGGTTTCCATTTTAATCCTATAAAAGTGCTCCATTCAGTTTTTGAATTAAAAAAAAAATTCATGCACATTTTTTTCAGTCATCATTTCCCCTTTTTTTTAACAAGTGAGAGTTTTGGGTTCAAAATCTCCCATTTATAATCCCTCCCGTCTTATCATCCAAGCCAACCCAACTCTCTCTGGGTCGTTTCAGGTTATAACATTACAAGTTATTTTATAAAATTATTTAAAAAATGACCACCCAAACTGAACCAATCTTGCTTGTAAGCTTCGCTCTTTTTTTTTTTTGGGCTCAGTTTAAACTGTTGATCCTTGACCTAGAAAAATAGCAGTCCAAACATCCCGAAGTGAGCTTGTTTGGATTGAAGTTTTTCCAAAGAAGAATTTTTACATTTTTTTCTAAAAGAATTTTTAATTATTTTTTATCTCGCATATATCAAATTGTCATAATATATTTTTCTATAAAAAATCTAAAAAATTGCAATTCAAATATGCTCCAAGATAATTTAGTACAATCAAATATGGTCCTCATCTTCTTCAACCACTCTTTATAAAAATGAAGTACTAATAAACTGTAGGACCAACCATCCATCTTCTCCTTATCTTTTATTTTCGTTTGCCTTTGCAATTCACTAATCCCACAAAAGAGAATTCCATTCAGTTTTTTTTTTTAATTTTTAATAAGAAAACATTTTTTTCATGCATATATTTTTCAGTTATCATTTCATGTTACAAGTACATTTATGTAGAAAATGATTAGTAATAATGTCAAAAATTATTCAAAAAACCACCATCCAAAGAAAGCTGAAGTTCATTGTAGCCAGTAAGCTTCTTTCTTTTTGATTGGGCCCAGTTTGAGAACTACTTTGGATCAATCCAGCAGCTTAACTTCTAGATTCCTGACCCAAAAAAATAGTAGTGCTTTACCCTTCCATCCGTCAGCATCACCCCTGATCTGTCATCTCTTGCGGGCTCGTTACTACCATTTCTCAAATCAGATAAAATTGCATTGGACCTAGGGATGTACGCGAGCCGAGCTACTCGCGAGTAGCTCGGTCAACGACTCGGCTCGAACTCGGGTTGACCGAGTTCGAGCCGAGTTTCGAGTAACTCGAATGAAAATCGAGTCGAGTTTCGAGTTGAAATAGTCCAACTCGAGTCGAGTCGAGTAGCTCGACGAGCGGGAGTTATTTAAATAATATATTTATAATTTAAATAATATATATGTATTATAATTATAAAATGACCATTATGGGTATAAGTTATGAAATTTACAATATATCCTTCTTTATAATAAAATCCTATAATGGCAAAAAAGTAATAACATAATTGTAAAAAGACCTAAAATGAAAAAAAATTTCGAGCCTCGAGTATCGAGTCAAGCCTCGAGCCTAAAGGAAATTTTTCGAGTCGAGTCTCGAGTATCGATTTTTTGGGCTCGCTCGAGCTCGAGTCGAGCTCGAGCTTTGGTGTATATGAGTCGAGTCGAGCTCGAGTATAGCAATACTTGAGCTCGACTCGGCTCGATTACACCCCTACCCACTATACAACCGGCTGAAGTTGAAGAGATCAATACTAAAACTTTATAAAATGTCAAAAGCAACCTTTAAAACATCCTAATTCATGAAACAGCCCAACATTCAGCTTCGACCACCAATCACAAAACAAAACTTCATGATTGGCGGCACACTCCAACTAGGTGAAAAAAGGGCATCCATTTTTTTCTTTTTGAAAAGAAAAGGGCATCCATTTTCGGTTCCTGCTTTCAACCCTGCCATGTCACATCCTTCCCTCAAAATTCATCAAATCTCAAGTTATTTACAATACCTCATAAAGTAGCCGCTTAACATATCCAACAATCAAATCATCACCAAGGTTTCAACTATGAAACATAAAAATCTCTTCCAACTCAAGTCAAAATTTAATCTAAATTCAAAGACTATTTGTCAAACTTTATGTAAGCGCAATAGCAATTGAGCAATTGGGAAAAAAGAAATGAGGCCCAAGTAAGAGACTGCATTTAGCAAAATTGAGTTTATCTAATTCGGCGTCAATGTTTGAGGAGAAGAGTTCGAGTGAAGGGCAACAGAAGGATGAATTGGGCAGCGAGCAGGGGAAAAGATGAAGAAGAAAATGTTGCAGATAGCAATCAAGCAGATAAGACGATAAGACGGTAGCGCAGTTGTCTGGGAATCAGGACAACAATTGTAAGGTTGGGGTATGCTCGTAACTTTGAATTAAGTCACGGATTGTAGTCTAATTGTTTTCCATTTGCATTCTGCAGTGGACTCCAAGTTTAAGGTAATATTGTCAAGGGATAATTTAAAAAACCTCTCCTAATGTTTCTGACAATTTTTTTCCTCGGCTTCCTTAAGGATTACACAATTACAGGGACTTTTCTTCTCGTGTAATAAAAGGAGAATAATGCCCTTCATTTAATTGTCAATTCATCAAAAAACTCTTCCAGAAATTAGCCTCTCTTATTTATTATCAATCAATAACTCAAACTACGGCTTTCTCTATCTAACTCTATATTCTCTTCCTCTAACATTTGCTTTTCTTCCAAACTCATTTATATATTCTTAGCGACCAAATAATGTGTATTGTCGTCACCAATAAAGTCACCATACATTATTTAGCTAGCTCAACATACTCAATTTCTTCCTAGTTCCTCTGCTTCTATCTTCTTATTTATTCTTCAATTTTCAGTTCCAACTATCCCTGATTCACAGTTTGATTATAACAATCTTCGTGCTGCCAAATTATTCAGGATAAAAGATATCATTACAATATATCTCTGGTCTCTGTAGGCAAGTCTAGAACAACAATAAGAACAGAGATTATAACTTTGTTCTGGGCCCTGATCATAATACCATTGCCTTAATATGAAGACGTGGTGAGCTGAAAAGAACGCATAAAAACACGCTGGGAATTCGGTTCGTCACACAAACAGGACCGCATTCCTAAGTAGTTAAGACTTACAGAGGCAGCATATTGGGCTGGTGGGAACAGGTGCCATGGGGTATCCAACTCAACAGTAGATGGATAATATCCCTTCTTCTGCATCTTCGTCCATGATTAAACCGAGCGAATTCATCCATAAGTCGCTGAAATAGCACTGTCAACGGGTACGGCAATGTTGAGAACGAAAAGAAGACTGCCAGACAAAGTGAAATTAGGCAGTGGCGCATCCACCAGCGTGAAAATACAAGTGAGAAAAGAGATGCCACTGAAATGGATCCAAATATGGCCAAGGATATACTGTTCTTGGTAGCATAAGAGATGCAGTATAGGAGTGTACTTGTGGAAGCTAAGAACATGATGTTGGGATGAGCTTCAAATGGGTTTGTTTCCCTCGCTTGATACTTCAGTCCCAGAAAGTTGAGCACTAGTGGAAGAGTAAACTGGAAAAATGCATGGGAACTGCTCAATCTGGGGCTTCTTGGAGGTTGAGAGATTATGATTCTTGAGTTAAAGAACAACGTCATGTTAGATTGTAATGTGAAGAAGTAGAGGTTTCCATCAGCGGGATAAGAGTCCATCTCATCAATGTACTTGTGTGGCCGAGTGATGGTTTGGACTTGGGAAATATATAATGGCAAACGTGGTAGCCAAAAACAATTTAAAAAAAAGGAAAGATATTTTCTTGGATAATAAAAAAAGATGAAATTAAAATAGTGTTAGTTTACAGCAATCGTTGTGGAGAAACTAACTCCCTTCAAATCCTCATTAACTAAAGAAGATATTTGTGGAGGGCAAAAGTTAAAAATGCAAAACTTTTGTTTAGTTGGACTCCTCCCAATTTTGCCATTCCATCTGCACTTCAATTTGCTTTCCTGTATATATGTGGATGCGGCTTAAGCCTAGTAAACAATTTTTTTTTGTAAAACAAAATTTGGTGGGTTCAACTCCGATCACCACCATACGTCACGATATGCTTTCAGAACTATATAGGTCGCTTACAGAAATTTTTACAGATTGTCCATTAACACAGACCTTACATTAACAGTAAAATTTGAACACACAACTTTTTATGAGAAAGTGACTGTGTTGGAAGCCTAATAAACAACGGTCACAAAAAGAAAAAATGCACTTTGACGCGAAACTATAGCTAGCTAGTAGCTACAGATCAACTATAGGTATATTTCTTAGTATTTCTTTTCGTCCGAAAGTAAGCTGCAATTTCCTTGTACGATGAAAGGAACTTGCGAGGTCCCATCCAGCTTTCGAACAGACGTGCGATGTTATCAACTTATCACAACTTCGTTGCTTGATGTTGTCAAAATGTGAAAGAGGCAGTGGTCTCGGAGACCGCCGGAAATTAAGTAATTATGCCATCACACTTTGATCAACGAAACTCTCAAATGTAACAATTAATTTTTAAAAGGGAGTTCAGTGTTAATTTTTTTTTAAAAAGTGAAATTATAATTAAAAAGAAAAAGAAAAATGTTTCAGGATGTAATAGGGGTAATAAATATAGTTATGTGTATTTACATAATACAACATTTATAACATCAGGCAAATTTAGAGTAGGTTTGGATTGTCAGCTTTTTATAGAAAAGTGTCTTGAATTTTGAAAAAATATTTTCTTACATATTTTTCAATCATTCTTTTACGTACTACATATATATATATATATATATATATATATGCGTGTGTATCACATCGTATATTTTTTTTATAACAATTCCAAAGAATGGCAATCCAAACCGGACCTTAAACGCTAAAGCCTCTTCCTTTCTTTTTTTCAAAATGAGCCAGGATTTAGAAGAGCAACAGTTTGGAAACATGAGACCATGGAATCCATGAAACGATGAATATCAGATGATGCGCCTTGCCTTGTGATCAGATGATTTGGAATTCATGAAACAATGATCGGATGATTGGATGATTAGATGATTAGATGATAAACAAATAAAGTCTGTCTTTTTGTCAACTTCTTGGTGATGGTTTGACGATCTTTCCACCGCATAAAGGTATAGAGATGGACGACTTGCTTTGGGCGACATCAATATTCAGTAGTACTGCCGACAAGACATTTTTGGGTTAATTGCAATATGTACCCAAAATCATGATTTATTTGTTGTCACCTCCTGCAGTGGGTGTTAATTATTAACTTCAATAATTTGGAATACCTTACTTTGATACCATTCACAAGGTTTTTTTTTTTTTTTTGAAGGATACCATTCACAAGGTTCAATAATTAATCCGCATTTCATCATCAAATATTACATACTCTTCGTATCTTATGTTATGAGATTTTGAACAGCTAGTACTTGGCTGAAAAGAGGTAGACGGTTAAAATTTGGCAAATCAATACGAAAAAAATTCAAATGCGAGGCTCGTATCATGTCATGTACTTGTGATACAATTGACATGTATGGATCCTTGTAAATAGAAGCTAAGTATCATATCTTTGGTACCTCAGCCTACAATTTCTTTTCTTTTTCTTTTAATACATTAGAGGGCCAAGGGATCCTTATGAATAAAAGCAAAATACAGTAAAATCTCTATAAATTAATAACATTGGGACCGTACAAATTCTATTAATTTAAAAAGGTATCAATTAATCAATAAATTAATAATTTATTAATTTGTCGAGTGTACTTACAATTCAAAGAAACACTCATTTACTCAACTAAATTTTTATTTTATTTTATAAAAATAAGAATTATTCTATTAATAAAAGGAGGCTAAAAATCTAAGAAATATAAACCAATGCTTATGTACTTGATTTGCAAGTATAATTTAATTGTATTAATATCTTCAATGTATATAACTGATATCATTTTTCTATTATCATTTAGGAATAATAAATGATAGATGTCCACTTCTATTTTATTAAATATATACAATGAATCAGATTAATATTATTATATATATAAATGATATGAAAGTTTCTCATCTAAAAGTTATTCACAAATCAATCATGACTGATCAAATGCGTAAAGTATTAAGTGAGTATAGTAGAGAGTACCCCACATGCACTCAAAAATAATTGCAGCAATGGATTTCTGATAGGAAAATATGATATGTAGTTTTAGTGCATTATTAATTTACGACATAAATGGGACCAAAGGGTTACATAAGATTTTCAAAAGATCTTATTATTTTATTATTCTATCAAAATTATTAATTTAGTTTGTTTGTCCAAGTTGAGATCGAAAAAATTATTATTTAATAGAGGTTATTAATTTATCGAATATTAGTTTATCAAGATTTTACTATATTTGTGGTACATGAGTTTACAATTTCGGTTTTTTCAATAAATTAGAGGGCCAAAGGCCCGTTATGCAGAAACTAATCCGGATGCTGAAACTCCACTTAGATCTTGGCCCAATAGGTTTCTAAGAGTAAGTGGGGTTTCCAGAGACTAGTTAGCGTACCCATGAGCTAGGCCCCTACTCATCTTCGTTAGACGGCCCGCCACACACATTCCCTTCTCGCATAAAACATGTGTCAGCTGGTGCTCCCTTCATGGTCTGGCATGATCCATGTACATCTCTTTGCTTAGGTTCCAGTATTGACCGTCTTCCGAAACCTCCTGAATCAGTGAAATTGCCGACATAAGTAGGGTCGGTAAGTAAGAGCGGGTTATTTTCAAATAAAAAATTATATGCGTTTGAATTTCATAAAAATTGTGTTGGTTGGCGATCTGTAAAAATCTCTACAAGATCATGTTTTAAACATTATTGTATTTCGCGTGATAAATTGTAGTGCCAACCGTTCTATCCTTGCTCCAAAATTTATCCAGTGCTGAATCTTCCTTGGTACTTGGCTTGCCAGACACGAACTTCTATTATTAACTTGCCCAAACTTAACATGCCACACTCTGCCCTCACTAATAAATGCTGCAACTTACTTTGTTGCCTGAGGTGTAAGCAATCTCTGCCGGAGACTCAATTCTACAAAAGGAAAGCATTTACAAGTTTTTTAAAAGGCCGAACTTGTACCAGCAACAATTTAAGCAGAGAGTTTAAGGTCAAGACAAGTTCTGTAAAAATTGTTAAATGCATTTTCCTCGTCTTTGACGGGTATGCTATGTTGTGCTTTAATTTGGGTTTGTTTCCTTTGGGATTTTCCACCCTGGTTTGTCATGCTTTTGGACCGATCTTGGGGTCGTTCATTTAGTGTAAGCTTTGGAATGATTTGGTGGTTGTGTATGGTGAAATATTATTGTGAACATATATCTGTTTTGCAGGCAACCCATAAGAAACCACTGTGGGGAATAGATCAGTGGCTTTTGTAGAAATCTTGGATGGGCTGCGAATAGTGTAGTGGATGGAGCTGTGGCCACTAAGGGATGGATTGAACTTGGCAAAGTCTCTAAACATCTGTGCATCTTGTGAGAAATAGATGCAAATGTAATTGTTGATATGTTTCCGATCTAATGCAACCGTTTTCTCCATTTGTATGTGACTGCAGGACTATTATGGAGACCTTCCTGTCAATTACCTCTTGAGGACATTTAGAGAGAAGCAAATTAGTGTGCTGATCTTTTGGCCAAGATGGGCGTTGAAGCTCAAGAAGACATTCATTTTGTTTCATTGTAAACCCTTGGCAATTTCTAAGATTTTAAGTCCCATTTGAATTGTTATTTTTTAGAATTTTTGTAAAAAAATGTACTCGAGCAATTTGATATATACGAAATAAAAAAATGATTGAAAAATATACATTTAAAAAACTTAGCAATTTTTTGGAAGGAAGGGATCAGTCTACAGTGGGAATTGTACGGAAGTTCCTACTCAGGAACTGGGTGCGTGGTTGGACAAGAAATTGACACGGAATGTGATGTCAAATCTCTTTTAGTTTGTGGTTGGGAGAGGGATCAGGGGCACGAATGGTTGCAGGAGCTCCTGAAGGTTATGTGTATTTTGTATACGGCGTAACTCTATTTGCATGTGGTGTTACTTATTTTTAACAACGTGATATTTTAGAACAAAATTTTGTGGATCCCACATATGTTGTTAAAAACGAGGTACAAGATGAGATCTGAACCGTACAATTTCTTTGACCAAATCTTGGCCGTGAACTGTCAGGAACGGTCAACCCTTCCTACCCCTCTTCCGTTGGGAGAGTAAGCCGTGAGTTACCAATTTACAACGCGCTTGGAACAATGCTCTGCTGGTTTTCTATTTTAAAGTTTTTTTTTAAAACCAAATAAAAAATTACCTCCCAAAATAATTATCATTCCTTTTTTATTCAATAATCTTTTACACTATTCTTTACATATAATTTGTAAGAGCATTAATCTAAGGTAACAGACACTGCAATCTTCAAGATTACAGTCATGCTACAGCAAGTGCGTTTTGATCCTACTTTGCCCTTCTTCCTAGGATACGCCTCTCTCTATCCGACTAATTTATTCTTTATAAACCATATGTAGGGAGTAATTGCAAAAGACTTACTACTGGAATACCACCTAATTTTTTTTTTTTAAAAAAAAAGGGGGTTAGCAAAGAGAATTAAAAACCGCTATTGCTTGGTAACCTCCATCCAAATCCAAAAACCATGTCACCTGTTGATGCATTATTAGGAGAGAAATTCCTATCAATCCATAAA